GTAAATCGCCAGAATGCCGACACCTCCTCTCATCTCCACCGCTCCCATGTTTTATTTTGTGTTGCCATAAGTTAGTCTCTCTGCGTTTCTGCGCTGGGCTAATGCTAATGCTAATAATGCTAATGCGAGGATAATAAAATGGTGGCTTCACAACACTTTTTTTTTGTTTTACGGGGCGTGGTTTGCAATCCGCCCAGCCAATCAGAAATATAGCTCTTTTCTCACAAGAGAGCCGCATGAGAGTCCCTGCTCTCTAAAGGGGGTAAAAAGGTTCTCATGAACTCATTTTAGTTCCGGCTCTTTTTGGTGTGAACGCGACATTTCGGAACTATATCGGAACTAAAGTGGGAAAAGTACTCCGGTGTGAACGCGGAGACATGTTAATACTGTGTTATAGAGACATGTTATGATAGGGACATGTTATCAATGTGTTATAGAGACATGTTATTACTGTGTTATAGAGACATGTTATGATAGGGACATGTTATCACCATGTTATAGAGTTACCTGCCCATCTGCTTGTAGGCCTCCTCAGCCACAGCGAAGATATGGGGGTCCATGTCCCCCATGTTCTGGCCGCTGTAAGCCCGGATCACTTCCTCTCCGTAGATATGGAGCTGGTCATACGGGTTGATGGCCACCAGCACGATGCCTGCAGACACACAGGGATATGCATTCATATATAACCTATGATTCATTATTATAACATGTACATGTGTATATGATGGCACTCAGTGTACCGCAGTAGGTGTAGATGTGGTTGGGCTCCAGGAAGCGGACCCTCAGGTTGTGCAGCACTGCAGGTTCATGAAGGTAGCTCAGCGCCGTCAGGTCGTTCTCCCCCACCAGGATGTCTGGGTTACGCAGGAAGGGGAGGGGCTTCCCCTTCGGACCCACCGGGTAGGCCAGCGTCTGAGCACACACACAGACACACAATCATTTCATACATCTGTACCCTTTAACAATAAGAGATTTTCAGAATGAGAGCGTACCGTGTCATCCTCCAGTCTCAGCAGCAGCTCCGGTTCTCCCTCCTTGAAGTCTCTGATGATCTCTGCAGCTTTCCACACCTCAGAGGGGTCAGGGATCCAGACCCGGGTGTACTACACACACACACACACACACACACACACACACACACACACACACACACACACACACACACACACACACACACACACACACACACACACACACACACACACAGAGACACACACACTCACTC